CTGCCTGCTTTCGAGGTGAACGCCGCGCCCGCTTGGCCGGAGGCGCAGGCGGGGGCGGGGCAGCACTCGTTGGCGGGCGCCCTCGGCGAGGAACAGCGGAGGTGGATGGCTCGGCGGGCGGAGCGGGCTTACGGCCACGCCGATAGATGACATTGCCCATCGCATCCGACTGCTCTTTCACCGCCTTGAATTCCTGGGTGAATTCACCGACGGTGTCGCCGAACAGGCCAGCCTGGGATATGGGCGAGTCAAGAAAGCGAACTTTGTCAACGTCGCGCATATTGGCCAGGTATAGCCAGAGGTGGCGTTCCTGAACCACAAGTGTGGACATCGTCCTCCCCAGCGCACACGCGGCGGACTTAGTAGTCCGAAGAGCATAGTCGGTCGCGGTGCGCAGCTCATGTAATAAGCTTGGGTTGGACCCGCCCTCGTGCAGCTCGGCCAGCGCCTGCGCTTGGTAGCGCTGGTAGGTGGCCATCGCGTGCAAAGCAGAAGCAGCCTGGCCCGCAGCCTTATAAGCTCTGGCTCCGAGGGAGGCAGACAACCTACAGGCTTTGGACGGGAGGCGGGGCAAACCCCGCCACGTAGAGGCGCCGCGCGGACAAAGATTGACCGCGATAGCGCGCTCCACTGACGGGATCGCCTCATACCCCCTGGCAGCTCCGCCGTCAAGGGCGGTGAGGGCGGAGGCACACGCAGCACGGGCAGAGAAAGGTGCCCTCCAAGACTGCGTGAGCCTACTGTGCACTTCCGGGAAGAAGGGGACGAGAGGCTTCGAAGGCTTCGCCTTCTGGTCCTCTACGTAGCACCCATCTAGTCGGTCCGGCTGCGGAGCTGGGGGATAAACCATCTCCAACTCCACGGCCGAAGCAGCCCGGGAAAGCACGGCTAACATGTCCGCTTCAGGATCCGATTTGACAGCGCTCACCTGCCCGGAGGGGGCGAGCGGGTCCGGATCTTCGTCGGACAGTGAAAGCCCACCCTCCGATGCCGCGGAGGACATCTGATCTCCGGTGTCAGCGAGTGTGAGAGCTACCATCTGGTTAGACGGATCACTCTCAACACCCGAAGCTTGGATGGAGCGCCGTGAGGAGCGAGAGGTCCGCGAGCCCGTGGGCGGCGGATTATCTCCCGCTGAAACCCTCAGATCTGCCTGAGCGCCCGCTGCTTTTTTAGAACAGGAGGCAACTGGGGTGGCTCGCTGTCTTGCGAAAGTTAGCCGCGATCTTAGCTGTGCAACGGTCATGGCATCGCAATGACGACATGAACCGCCCGCGAGCACCGCATTAACATGCTGGACCCCCAAACATGCAATGCAGTGATCGTGTCCATCATCCGGAGCCAGGAAACCCCCGCATCCAGAAACGCACAGTCGGAGCGCCATCCTGAAAAGGACGTGCTGCACGACTGTGTTGCTCTTTTAGGAAAGTTGCAACTATACGCACCGCTCTGGAGGACCGGACCCAAAGAACCGCAGGCAAGGGAGTAACCCAGCTCGACCGTCTGCCACCGCGAAGACCCACTCTGGACCGGGAGACACACTCGTTCGCTCTGAAGTGCTGATCAGCAAGAGGAACCCTCATCGACTCACTCAGAAAGGATCTGAAGCGAAAAGGATGGCGTCTGCTGGCTTCAGGTGTGCTTATATGCTGAGATAATTGCAGATGTCGCACACCTGCGCAAGCTTACGCTGCCAATTAATTTCATTCATTGGCCCGTTCAATACTCTCCAGACAAGCGGCTTCTGATCCGAATCCTCCCAATGCGTGGATTTTACAAATCAAATCCACTTATAGTGCTGAAGTTCCCCCCGAAGGGGAACCAAGCATCTTACCTTTAGTCATCTTCGTCTCGAAGAATCCACCCTTCCACCCCCTCTCCTCCTCTTTAGCTCTATAGGGCAGCACGGTGGCCCAGTGGTTAGCACAGCAAGAATGCCTCTGGTTCAGGTCTCTACCCGGTCAATCGGCATTTCTGTGTGGAGTTTATGTCTCCCCATGCCCGCGTGGGTTTTCCTCCCACAGTTCAAAACATGAGACATAAGTACTGTAAATTGACAACCAATTGACAACCATCTCTACATATTAATTTTAAATCTGTTTTGTTTAAATGCACAAAAATACATTTCCTATATTCAAGAAATGGAATAAAAAATGGATAAAAATATTAATTTTCAAAATGCGGTCAAGTATGCTGAGCACTGTATGGATTATTATTTTTTATCTATAATTTTAATTTTAATTTTAGGGATCTTCTTGTGGTATATCAATTTATTTTTATGCTTGTGATGAAATAGCATTCAGCTTGAGCTCTTTAAACCATGCGTAGGACCTTTTCTCTATGTTTCGCTGGTAATCTCTTTAAACAAATGATTATTTAGGCCTATTTAATTATTCATTTATTATTTTTGTACCATAATTAAGACATAAAATGAGATCAAATTTAATCAGCAACGAAAATGTAAATGAAACCTGTAAGTAAAAACGTAAATAAAAAATCTTATTTATTGACTGTCTTAGATCTATCACTTTAAAATAACAAACAATGTACATCACTCTATATTTAGGCTAAAACACTGCTTTATTCATTTTTTTTTATTCCTTCTTATTATATTTGTTTGTACTTTCAATTTAGTGGTCTTTTATTTCTTTAATTTTACTTTTTGAAATGAATCCTCTTTTCAGTTAAGTTTATAATGATAATAAAGCATGTTAACATTTTTTTTTCATTATCAAAGGAATTATAAGGCTTTGTTTTATTGTTTCATCTTCATTTACTAGTAGCAGAGTATTTACAGATACTGTATATTTCTGTCCGTTCGCATCCCGTCGCTTTGTGCCCCCTGGCGTCATAGTGGCTAACTGCGGTTATACCTAAAAACACGTTCTTACTCTTTTAGTGCGGCGGTGGTACAAGATGCGGCAGTAATGCTCCTTTTAAAGTGTCACCCACTGTACATCTATGGGGTCAAAGATAGGACGTCCTATTTTGGAATCTGCGTTAAATTAAGTTTTATAAACACATAAAAAACAAAACAAATGCAAGTGAAATACTTATGAATTTTGAAAATATCAAAATATGGATAAAATCATTTTCCATTACCATTCAACGTAACAGATGTGTTTACGTAAAACTAATTCCTGTATAAATAAACACTTATTCTGACAAGTAGTTATTAATATAAATCCTATTAATATAAAAACAAAAGCCTCCTGGTGAACACCCATGAAATGTGAATGATGCTGGATAAAAATTTAATTAGCATTTTGGGGCTGCACTTTGATTCTAATCGAGTCTTTCAATGTTATCAAATGATTGTTGTTCTAAATATGCCTGACAGCAATGTTTGTGTCTAAGTCATCAATTACAGCATATAAATCATTTAGTTCGGGGTGCTGAACTATCAGGTCTCTAAAACTTTAATGTGACAAGCACCAGTACATATAACTAACCTTTAGGATCAAACATATCTATTTACCCAAAAGCTCTCCTTTCAGTTAAGTCCAGGTCTTCACGCCACGACTAGTAAATGTTTATACATTTAAAGAAAACAAAAGTCATTTTCACAGAATTTCTTTGAAGCAGTTCACACTTAATATGCCAACTACACAATAAAAAAATCCATAATTTTACGGTTTATTTCTGGCAGCTGGGGTGCCAAAAAAAAAAAAAAAAAAACACAAATTAACGCCTATTAAATTAAAGAAATTTACTGTAAAATAACAGAGGTTGAATTATAGAAATTTACCAGAAATTTAAATTTAAGGAAATTTCTGTAATTAAATGTCTGTTATTTTACATTAAAAATCTGAAATTTAACGGCCGTAATTTAACTTTTTTCCTGCACCCCAGCTGCCGGAAATAAACCTTAAAATTACATTAATTAAAATTAATTAAAAGAAATTTATTACAGTGTACTCTATATTAAATCTGTTTTCCATCAGTATTAATTTTGTTGAGGAAAAATGTTCATCATACATTTTATGACAAACAAGTTTATACTGACAAAAACTATACAAACTCTAAACAAAAATTAGGTGATAATGACAACAACTATGATAAAAATTGATATTGATGTTTTTATTGACTAATAAAAACGAGTTGAGAATTTGATTGAGGGATGTAGTATATGTAACACATTATCATTTGCCAGTCAAATGTCATTACTTTTTTAATCTGTGCTATAGCTGAGCACCAATTACTGTAACACTAACTACAAGAGTAATGCTTGGTAGACTGACAGGTTAAGCCCTTTCAAAGATTTAATGGCTTGAAACTGTTCCACAGACTGGTTAAAAAGACCAGTAGTTCACTACGTTAACATAAAAGGTTTGCTAATTATTTGCACATGCCATGTTTGGTCTTCAATAAAAAGGCTATATTTTAATTATACAATTTTATTTAATTATACGTTCGAATATTTTGAATAAAGAAACATATACAATATTTGAATTAAATTACATTTAAAAATTTAAGAAATTAAATACATTTTAGTAGACTAAAACTAAAATGACTCCAAAGATTAAAATAGGACTAAAGTTAAAATGGAATTTTAGTAAAAAAACTACGACTAAAACTAAATCAAAATTTGCATTCAAAATTACCACTGCTTTCCATCAAATAACTTTTGTCAAATTAAATTGACACCAAAATTTGACTTTTTATCTTTAACAGACGTAGCTTTATTAACTGTTGGCTAAAAAAAGCAAAACAAAGAGCATTTGGCTTGTATTCAATTGCTCAAGTTACCTGTAAAGCAGAAAACTTTCTCTCCTTCAATTACGACACTACCAACATCGCATCTACTCTTTTATATAAGACTGATTTCATGGTCCTTTTATTTCTTGTTGTTGTTTATGTGTAAACAAAGTAGGCAGAAAATAGGTAGGCGGGGATAAATGAATGGATGGATGTATGGATGGATGGAAGGAGGAGTGTCAGGTATGATGGGAGGAGGACCAGGTTGGTATATAAGATGCTGTCCATCGCCTCCTGACTTCACCAGCAGTCATCTCACCTCGAGGAACAGAAGATCAGCAATCCTCCAACAACAAGGTATGGAAATGAATATGATAGACGAGCAGAATGTCATTGGGAACTTTTTAGTGTTATGTGATAGGAAGCATTTGTTCTGCCTGATGTTTATGAGCTTTTAGGTCTGCTAAATAATTGGAGGGGGAAAAAAAACATGCTAACTTTTAACATCAAGAAGTTCTATTAGGTAAAATCTTAAAAAATGGCATTTTCCTAGGCTCTCCTAATGATATGAAGATTTGCATTTCTTTTTTGGTTTATCTCACATGATGTGTCTTTATAAAATAGTAAGGTTTGCATCTCCTTTGAAGTTATTTTTGCCAACCCAATCCAATATGTGTCTCCGTTCATCCATCGGGAGCAGCTCAAACCTGCAGTGCACAGTTCGTTTAAAAGTGTGTGTGAGTGTGGTGAATTTTTGGCTCAGATTACACTTAGCCGGGTAACTTCCTCCTCGGGTTCGTAGTGTTTTCTCCAGTTTAAGATTTCACCCTTATCGGGCGGTTCACATTTCGCTTCTGTAGTTAAGTTAAGCTCCTTGTAGGATGATCCGAAAAGGGAAGGAGGAGGTCACTGCATGTTATGCAGAGAATATATTACTGCTGCTTTTGCAGTGTTTTTACCGTTGAGGTCTGAAGAACATAAACCTGCCTCATGCTCTTAAATATTTAAGATGAGCCAAAAATATCACCCCCTAAAGAAAACCTTTTGTGCATCCTTGAGTGCATTTAAACGTCTAAATACAATGACTCGCTACAGTGACCAATGAATCTTTCTCTCCAGGATGTCCAATTTAAACTCCGAGAATGCCTCCACTTTGGAGAACGCCATGCAGCTGATGATCCAGACGTTCCACAAGTACTCTGGGAATGAGGGTGACAAATATACTCTCAGCAGACAGGAACTCAAAGAGATGTTAACACAGGAGCTGGGAAACTACCTTGGGGTGAAGAGAGATTTTAAAAAAAAGAGTTTGCTTAGAGAAAGTGTAAGATTCTGATTAACTTCATCTGTATCTCCCTTACTCCACAGAATGCACAGGATAAGGATGCGGTAGATAAAGTTATGGGAGATCTAGATTCAAACAACGATGGTGAGGTGGACTTCACAGAGTTCATCATCCTCGTAGGTGCCCTCACCGTCGCCTGCAACGACTTCTTCCTCGAGTATCATGAAAAGGATGGAAAGAAGGATGACAAGAAATAGAGACGCATTTGTCTAAAGCCAACACATGACCAGCGAATGAGCATGAGGGGAATGAAGGGAGAAGGGGAATATGTGTGTTTGTTTGTGTGTGTATGAATCTTCTTTACTGATTCTGCTGTCAACTCTTAATCCACAAGCGCAATCCTGGGTACACAAAAAGTTCCATGAGGCGCAAACCCCTGAAACAACCTTTTAATAATGATAGAATAAGATGTGAGTTTGTACGATGGTCTTTGTTGAATGTGTGAATATGTGTTTCTTCTTTTGTTTTTTAACAATTGGAGTTAACTAATCTCTCCATATTACAATAAACTGATCGTTTAAAGTAATCAGATGTGGTCAGTGTGTTTTTTCACATTCATTTAGACAAGGCAGCAGTAGTGCTGTACCATTGATATTGTGTTGGCAGTTAAGCTGGTAATGCAGAGAGCACAGCAATAGTAAGATTGAAAAGCATATCATTTTGACTTGAATCTTTTAACTCTTGTTTGGGGTCTATCCAAAGATATGCCTCCCACAAAACAAATGAATAAATACAGTCAGATTGGAGTATTTAAAATGCCAGTATACAAAATATAGGTGAATCAAGATATCACTTGTATTTATAGATTGCTTGGTCTAAAACATCTGCTGTGTTCAGAAGTCTGTTTAAAGCATTTAAAAAGTCTGCTGTACAAATATTATAAATGTTAAATATTCATTCATTCGTTCATCAGTTGTCACCACAATGGTATGAAGCACCAACTTATCCAGCATGTGTTTCACGCAGCAGATGCACCCACACCATCTTGCATTCACACACATACACTACAGCCAATTTAGTTTATTCACTTCACCTATAGGAGGACACCTACGCAAACACAGGGAGAACAGCTCCACACAAAAATGCCAACTGACCCAGCTGGGGCTCGAACATCTCGAATCTTCTTGCTGTGAGGTGATCGCACTACCCAATGTGCCACCGTGCCAAAATGTTAAACATCTTAAAGAATATTCTGTTTATTTAAAGTTTGATAAAAGTACATAAAAAAGTGATCTGATGCACTTTTTTTCACAAATGCTTCAAAACCTTATACTTTTCACAAGTATTTCACATTTTACAGATGGTTTTAACAAAAATAGTAGGCAAAATATTGTAGGCTAATGTTGAATATATTCTAATAATTTAACATTGATATTAAATATACTTCAAATTAAAAGTGATTAAATCGCTGCTTGTTGACAAATGTTAAGGGAAACGTGTGTCGACTTCTACACTTCATTCTGTCCCATTTTCTGGAGACTTTTCAAACATATAGCTAGGCTACAGCACGACGACACGAAACACGAAAAGTACCTAATAACTTTTTCCTCACATTATTTAGTAAGACTAAGTGAAGCGTGATGACTAGGTAATGCTGATTTCACTAGGCTATATTTATTTATCCATATAGAATAGTCTAACCGTGGGTTAGATTGCATGTGTTGGAAGTGTTTGACATCTTACCTAAAACTTTAAACATTTATATTATTTGACAAACGGAAATACGAAAGGAGAATAAAATAATGTAAAGCACTCATTTGGTGCTAAATAATCTGTCTGCATTTTTGTAAACGGAATTGTTGCATTACCTTCATTGATAAAACCAGTAATAATTAAACTGTGCAAAATATTATTACTATAAAGGTATATTACTGCCTTAAGTCAGTGAAAAAAGTGTTGCATGCTGAACTGTTGCAAACAATTTATTTGTGTTGAATTTAAACAAACAAATTAAGTTTAATAATGGTCAGCTTAATTTGTTTGTTTAAATTCTGCCCAAATAAATGGTTTACAACCATTTAACATAAAAAAATCGAGTAAATCCAAGGAATCATCATTGAATATTTTTTTTCAATCCAAAATCAGTTACCAGGTCTGCCCCCCTATTAAAACGCCCTCTCAGTTAGGACATCCTGGCGCGGGCCTGTATCAGGCATGTGGAGTTTTGCTATAACACCTATCAAATGCACCTAAACAAGCTAATCAGTGTACTCAAGACCACTAAAGCTGGCAGGTATGCTTGGTGGGCTGGAGCTAAAATCATTAGCTCTTCAGGACTGATGTTGCCCATCCTGGCCTAGAATAGAGTTACAGTATTGAGTCTGTTAGGTTGCGTTTGCATGTACTGTAAAGCTAGACCTGCTATAACAACAAGTGCCCGCTCACTTTTGCCAAGGCCCTTCAAACATACATTTCTGCCAATGCCATCTATCTAAAATGAACATTTACAAGCATAAACACGTGGAATCGATCTATGGTAAAAGGTAGTCTAGGCCTACATAAACATTTGCTGTCAGTTTAGAGTCACTTCTTTCACTAAAAAGATCCATGGTGAATTAGTCTGGTCTGGTTCTGTTCATCATTGATTGAGTGAGAGCAGCTCAAGCTTACTGGCTGTGGAAATCAGCGGGCGTGGCTCATTATACTTCAGGAAAGCACAGTTTATAACGTGTTTGTGGGATTAAAACCAGTGGCGTAGCGGACAGGCCCGCAGGGCACGCACCGTGGGGGGGGCCTGCGTGATTAGGGGGCCCCGCGTCTTCGCGATTTTCAATAATTGAAAATCCAGCAACCGCAATAATTAAACTCTTGGGAACAACTGTGGTCGGAACCAAAGTTCACAGGTCTGTGTTCTCTGAACACCTCTCAAGCGGTGGACTACATTCTGATTGCTTGCCGCCAATGTTGCCAACTTAGCGATTTTTTCACTAGCGACTTTTCAGACCCCCCGTCGCGAAAAATCTAGCGACTTTTTTGTGTGTTATTGGAGATTTTTTTAGACTGTCATTTGTCCATAACTGTACCGTCCTTACTCTTCTCAACGAGCTGCGTTTGATGCCGCCGGCCCCTCCCCCGCCTCACAGAACTGACAGGCGGCCCAGTCAGCAGCCTCTCCCACCTGCAGCCCGAGAGCAGATCACCCCTCTGCGTATCGACGACAAATGATTTAGCACAGGCAGTGTGAAGGTATTTCCCTTGTACAGTCTAACCGATCTGCTTCTCCTTTATTTTAACAATTTAATTGGACTGTTTATTCTTTTCTTGTTCACAATCACAGATATTTTAGTGACAGTTTCTAAACTTGTCTGAGTTTATTACATATGAGAGATTACTGCACATTCTCTACACATCTATAATGACATACTGTATTCAAACAACAATCAATTTAGTTAAATAAACATGCATATATAAAGTGTAGTGCAATTATAAATACCCCTTTAGTAACCATAGGCTGTTAAACAAACAGAAACGGTAGAACGTGATGACGTCAGTGATATGCAAATTGACGTATGACGTATCCCCCCCCCCCACTTCATCAGGGGGCCCCGTCAGCGATCCCTGCAGGGAGGCCTCAGCATTTTGCGCTACGCCACTGATTAAAACGCCATTTTAAATGACGCTTTGTGGCAAGCGGCTCACGTTATAAGCCACGCTTTTTACTAACACTAAAACGCTGTTAAAAACACAAACGTTTTTACAGTTTTATACACGTTATTTGCGCCATTTGAAATTGTATTAGCGCCATTTAATTTAACGGTTTTTTGTAAACGCGATTGATCAATTGTGTAATTATGAGCTTTTCGGCTTGCCATACACGCCCCCCTTAATAGGGGGCAGTTTAACAAGGTAAGCTGATTTGATTTTAAAGCCATATCTGTTCGCTTCAAACTGCTTCAAAACAAATCATACTAGCCTACTTTTTGATATGAGTCTATAAAGTGGCCTGTATGTAGGCCTACTTGAAATATTTTGTTCGGTAGATTATGCCAAGCATAATTTTTTTTAAACAGGCATTTTTTTTAAAAGGACTTCCATAGAAAATGAGAATTAAAGAACGTTTAATTAAAACAATACAGGGAAATAATGTTAGCAAGTAGCTACTGTAAATAATTGTAACTTGGGCAGCAAATTAAATTATATGTGGTTTAATGTATGTGGCTCAAATGAACAATATCATTGAACATTTAAAAGGCAAAATAGGCCTACTGTGTAAAAATGAACACCGAAACTAAATTACATCTTGACCAACAGAGGGCAGTGTTGAATCAGTTCTAAGCTTACAACAAAAAAAGGTCTTAAAATTGTCCAGACCAGACGGGGCATCTCGATTCTTTGTGTTTGTAGACAGTAGCTTTCTCATTTGAGGAAACACTGCATGAGAATTCTCATTTATAATTCAGTGAAATTATATCTTCTTGCATACATGAAGCATTCACTATTTTCATCACCGGGGATGTAGGAACATACAGTAGCAGTCCTGTTTTATGTAGCATAAACTAAAGGTCACATTAATATAATATGTGGACGAGCTTTTCCTTTCTGTAAGCTGCTCTCATGAATAGCTGGCTTGAGGAGCTGTTACCAAAGAGGATGCGCAGCCAACTTGAAATAAGACATGAATTTATTATGTTGTCAGAAGTTGGCAATGCCAATGAATGTGAGTTTAGAGACTGGTGAACAGAAGGACAGCAGAACAACACAAAAAGTCAGTCCGAAAGGCTTTCTTGGTGAAGAAATTTTAAACAGAATTGAAAATGACAATTTAAAACACTGACTTTCCCTTACAGAGAAACACAAGGAGTGTTATTTGTGCAATTAGGCCAAGAATTGTCAAACACAAAGAGATAATGTATGTCTAATCTTTATTTGAAAGGTTAAATGTTCGGTCAGCCAAGGGAGAGAGGTGAGGATAGGAGGCATGTGTTTAAGTGCCAGTGTAAATAAGACAGTGCATTTTTTTTAGGCCAACACACAGTCTTGACACAGAATTTATGTGACGTCAAACTTCTGGATTATTGCAGTATTGAACAGGTTGTGTCAAAACATATATAGGGAGACACTCCTTCATTTGTCTCCATTTTGTTGATGAATTTGAGACTTCATCACACATAGTCTTTTGCTGTAGATGATTTGGCTTGCTCTTATGAACAGAATGTTTTAAAGAATAGAGATACGACCCCATGTGGTGAACACTGACTTGTACCCCGCCGCTGATGTCACAGTGAAAAACACAGACATGTTGAGTCACCGGAGACCTCCTGCCAGTTGGAGCCGAAACAAAGACAAAAGTAATAAATTCATAGCTTGACTTTCACTCTCATATGTATTTTTAAAAAGCTAATGGTCAGGAAATGTTAATGTAATAGAGCAGCTGTAAAATGCAGCTTTGTGGTTGGTAATAGGGCTTTTTTTTTGCAGAAAAGTGCTGGTGAAGAAAATCTGAGAGGAGGTATGAGAAAGATTGAAGAAGCCAAGTATGCAAGGTCATTTGAAGCATTTAGCAAATGTAGAAAATTAATCCACGGATGAACACGTTTGCATAATCTGCTTTATGAAAGATGAGTTTTGGAGATTCCTTGCTTAATGAACGAAATGGATAAGAAAACTACACTCAAAAGTCTTAACTGCCAGCTAGTGGCCCTTGGTTTTATGAGGGTCAAGATATGATGTGCAAATAGGTAGAACGAAATAGAGGCAGAGGTAATCACTCCAAATTAAACTGCCTCGCTGTTTTCACAAATTATGATGACGAGGCTATATAATACACACTTTTGTTCAAACTATGGGCTCATTAAGGCTTTTTTTAGCAACGATGCGTTAAATAAATTACAAGTGACAGTAATGACTTTTGCTTTGAAAAAAAATCTAATGAATGCTGTTCATTGTGTCATTTTAATGCATTTAAGAATCCTGAAAAAAGCAAAAATATTAAGCAGGACAGCTGTTTTTTATACTGATAATATTAATAATAATATCTGTTTCTTGAGCACCAATTCAGCTTTAGAATTAATTCTGGAGGATCATAAATTGTTAAACACACATACATATATATATATATATATATATATATATATATATATATATATATATATATATATATATATATATATATATATATATATATATATATATATATATATATATATATATATATATATTAGGGGTGTGAACCTAAACTGGTCTCAAGGTTCAGTTCGGTTACGATTATCATGCCATCGATGCGGTTCAGTTCGATATATCGGTGCTTCACAGTGCATTGTCGATGTTTTTCATAAACAATTTGATATTTTACAACAGAATAATTCTTGTATTAAAATGGATAATTTATAAATGTATTTATATATTATTTGTAACACAGTTTTGTTCTTTAATACAAGCAGTAAGATATATGTCCTGTACCTTTAATTTTACCTTCTCAAAAAACACTCTTTTTAAATGTATCAGGCAAAACTAAAGTACATGCACAGAAAAAATTGAGCATTTATAGCAAATAAACAAATGTAAATTTTTTCCCCCTTGCGTTTTGAGCCTTGTCATGATTGGTCACGCGCTCGCAGGTCAAAGGGGCCACACAGAGTGAGAGAGAGAGTTTACAGCTTTCATTTTTTCCTAGCTGGGTTCTAATGTACTTTCTTGTCAGTGTAAACTGTCTAGCAAACTCACAAGCAGTGTATTGTGCAATTATCAGCTTTTTAAGTAGTTGGAGCATTTTAATTACTTGCAGTCTCCTCCCTCGCCGTAGTAAGCTGCCGCCATATAAAATATATGTAATAAATGGCATCAGTACATAATAACCGGTTAGGACCTGTTACCGAACCAATACTGAATTGTTCACGTCTGCATCATGGTGCATTAAAGAAACAATTAATTTTGACACCCCTCACATAAGCTCAAGGATCTCCGAAGTTGCTGATGAAATGAAATTAAATAAGAGAATGGACATAACCAGTGGCCTTACAATTTCATGAAAAGCTATGATGTATTTCGAAGGATGTGGTGTGAACCAAATGGATTAATGGGAACAAGAGAGATAAACAAGAACATTAGGGAAAAGGAGAGAGCAAGGAAAATATAGGAGGTCCAGGGTCCAGTACTGCAGTACTGCTCAGGATTTCATCTTTTTTATGCCAACTTGGGAGTCACTAAATCACAGTCTTTAAGGGTGTGTTCACACTTGGTAGATTTGGTTTGATCAATGCTACTAACTTAGATGCAATAGCTTCATTAAGCTCATTTTACCTGTACCTCTGAAAAATGTAATTATATGTTGCGATGAAACAGAGTCATCTGTGGTTGAGAGCTATGGGAGGGCAAGTCCGGTAGCATGAGTGTTTAACAAGACTTGAGTTCCGTGGAGGAGCTCCATAAGGATGCTTTTGTTTTGTTTTTAATTAATGATTAAAGTTGTTGTACATTCACTGGTTCCCACTTCTTTCTTCCCTGAATGAGTGTGAGTTTGAACTACTGCTACAGATTTTTACCGTGAACTCAAAACATCAGCAAAGAAACTTGACAGTTTCCAGCTCACAGAAACCCCACTGTGTACTGAATACTAGTTTCTTAAGTATTATTGCAGGGCAAAACAAACAGAATGCAGAAGGGGAAGGGTTGTGAAGTACACCAGTCACTCAACACAGAAATAAATTTTGGCTTAAGTCTCATTCATTAGCCATCTGAACCATGGTGTGGACCAAACAAGCAGAAAGATCTTTAAAAAAGATGAGTCTTGGTCCACTTCCACACAAACACTTTTGCAGTTTAACCAACATATGAATACAACACAGACCAAAGACATCTGATTGGACTAAAAACTCTGGCAAACCTGTTTTTTTTTTCATTATTGTAGTCCCTTACAGTTCAATACAGGTGTCACTGGTGTGGACAATGAAGAAATTCTTTGTTTACACATTTTATAAGCTCTTCATGTGTCTTAACTGATAAAAATACACATACCCCAACAGCCCAACACACTGCGGTAATTTGGATGTTTAATATGGTCATAAAATGTACATCAGTTTTTGCTTTTTATCTTTAGGTTTGGCCTTCCAAACACTGTACCATGATTAAATGTATCATTTTCCATACCAAGCGAACCAAACTACAAGCGTGAACACACTCTAACGCTAATTTGTCTGGGTATTAGCCATTTTGTTCAAACCACTTCAGACCTCTGTAAAGTACTGTATTTAGGGCCTAGGCGCAGCTCATCATTCAGTGCAGTACTGAAAATGCACAACTTGGGACACTTATGTTGAGAACCAACCCTCTCCAAAACCAAAGACTTAAACCTAATACTTTATAGTACCACTTCATATAGTCATTAAGAGCCCACTCTATATCATTCTATATCATCAGGCATCCTCCCTCTTAGGTTGCTCTTATGTTGCGTGTTGCAATAATACAAATCACACATTAAGTACAGTAAATTATTGATGATACAATACTCCATCAAAGCCCATTGTCTAATGACCATCTGTGTGTTCATATAGAACAGAGACTGTTGCTTCGTAAACAAATGGATCATGACAGGCTTCTAGACCATATGAAATAAATACGAGCATGAAAACCTTATGGAAATGACATTAGATCAAGCATTTTAGTTCATCCCTGTCTGAGTACCTTGCAAGTACAGGTAACGAACGGAAGTCATGTGACTCTTGAGGAAGCAGACCGCTCATTTCAGAGCTTGTGGGCGGTGGATGGCTTGCTATTTGCAGAAAAGAGTGCTGATTGGCTGCTGAGCAAAGTAAACAGGTGTTTCCCTTCTCGTCGATTGGCTTGTGTGGTTTGTCACCTAAAAGGAGGGGAAGGTGGAGTGGATGAGAGGCCTGAACGGGAATCCTGGACCAAATCCCCACTCTGCGTGATATTCCAAAAATGGTTCATATAAACCTAATGCTAGTCCAGAGTGATATTTGCCCTCCCCTTCCGCAGACCCCCCCTCCTGCCTTCGCCCTCCTGTCGCAGCTGATGGTGGGTAGAGTCCATTGTTGTGCCGGGGGGTGGTGGTTAGTCAGCCTGGTGTGTGGGTGATTGTTTTGGCTGTGTAGTTTTGAAACAGAGGTTGGAGGAACATTCCGATTGTGCCAAAGACGCACACAAACACAAAGATCCAGAGGAAAAGGCGATCAATCACCATGGCCACATATTTCCAGTCTTCACTCACCTGTAAGATTAAAAATAAAGAACGGTGGATAAGAAACAAAGCTTATGAAGGATTGATGGATTGAGAAACATAGTGTTGTTACTGATAGATAAAGCTAAATAATAAAATAAGCTCCAATAAAATCTAAACTTACACTTGTAAAGTTAACTAGAAACTCATACAAATGTCAAAAGCACATAACAAATTTGTACAATTGGAAATAAACTTAAACACCTGGAAATAAAGAAATTGAAATTAGTATACTAAAATTATATATACAGTTGATGTCAGAATTATTAGCCCCCCTGTTTATTTTTTCCACAAGAAGATTTTTTCAACACACTTTTAATCATAATAGTTTTAATAACTCATCTCTAATAACTGATTTATTTCATCGTTACCATGAGAACAGTAAATCATATTTGACTAGATATTTTTCAAGATACTTCTATACAGCTTAAAGTAACATTTAAAGGCTTAACTATGTTAATTAGGTTAGCAACAATTCTGTAAAGAATCAACATTTTACCCGGTAAACAAACTCAGCTTAAACTAATCCCTGCCTACTTTAAGGTCCTGGCTTGGCTTTCATTAATTACAGTTAAAGCCTCAATCTTTATATAATGAAGAGAACATTAAAATAAAATACAGTAAAAAAAAAAATTGGTAAGTTCAATTTATATATGCAGTATTAAAAACAACACAGATTCAGTCCATTTTTGGATGTAGAATAAAAGACAGAAATGAAAAAAACAAGCGGAAAAGTGATATATTTATTCCAAAATGAAAATTAGATTATGTCATTAGGTAATGTACACTGTTTTTTTTTTTTAAGCTTGATATTATTTTAAAATCTCTATATTCATTTATTAATTCATTCATTCATTTTCTTTTCCGCTTAGTCCCTTAATTAATCAGGGGTCGCAACAGTGGGATGAACCGCCAACTTATCCAGCATATGTTTTATGCAGCGAATGCCCTTCCAGCCGCAACGCAACACTGGGAAACACCCATATCCTCTTACATTCAAACACATACACCACGGACAATTTAGCTTATTCAATTCACCTAATCATGTCTTTGGACTGTGGGGGAAACACAGAGAAGTCCCAACTGACTCAGCTGGGGCTCAAACCAGCGACTTGCGATCGTGCTACCCACTGTGCCACCGTGATACCCACATCTCTATTTTGTTATTCTCTAATATTTTTACAAAAAACACTTGTAATATTGAGGTAACAAACAGGATAAAGGAATACCGATATTCAATTATTTTGATTTAAGGAAAACATTAACATTTCATCAATTATTTAAAAAATCAATTAATGCAAAAAAAAGTTTGTGAAGACGAACTAGATTTTAACTTGAGAATCTTCCTTCAAAATTGAACTTTATACCATAAAATACATCTTATGTGGAACCACTATGGAAAATACATTTCATATTTTTATTAAATATTTGTATGACGATGCTTAAAATATATATATATATATATATATATATATATATATATATATATATATATATTTTTTTTTTTTTTATCTGCTTCATTACTTTACTGAGCATATACACATGGTCTAATGTTCAGCGTCTCAATAGGTTTGGCGATGGAAACCACATTTTCCTAGTCTTTAAGCAATGAACCATTTTATTCTTAAATACAAATACACTACCGGTCAGTAGGATTTTTAAATGTTTTAAAATAAGTTTTTTCCTGCTCACCAAAGTTGCATTTATTTATTCAAAAATACAGTACAAATTGTAAAATCTGTGAAATGTTATTGTATTATAATTTAACTGCCCAAAAGTTGTTTATCATTTAATGTAATCATTAATTTCAGTGACTTTAATGATGAATTTCAGCTTCATTACTCCAGTCTTCATGAGTCACATGATCCTTCAGAAATCACTCTAATATTAATAATAATAATAATAATAATAATAATAATAATAATAACAATAATATTGATAATATTAATAATAATGATAATAATAATAATAATTATTATTATTATTATTATTATTATTATTATTATTATTATTAATAATAGTATTAGTAAAAAAAGCAATAATGACAGGAGTAATAATTTCATTTGAAACTAAATGCAATAAGAAAGCAGCTATTTAAAATTGTAATAATTATTTAACAATTTAACTTTTTTGCATTTAATAAGCTGCCTTTATGAACAGAATAATTGCCTTTCAAAAAAAAAAAAAAAAAAACATCAAAAATAAACTGACTCCAAACTTTTGAACGGTAGTGTATATATTTGTATTTTTACCTGGCAAGCCAATTAACAAATCAAATGCTGGACAAGCAAATGGAATTTACTGTACTTCCATATAATCACTAAAACTGCTTGCGTTTTGTCATTTTCTGCATTTCAGACTTTAAAAATGGAAGTCGTGACTGCCACAATTCATTTAAAATGTCCTTTAGGAGAATGTGTTTTCTTAATATCACATGAATCATGTCTGATAGGAGCATCAGCAGCTTTCACATACGTCTTTCATGGAAAATCCTTTACAGTTATAAATCAGGCCCCTGGTAGCATGAGAGTACATGTGACCATACGTCATGATGCGAAATCTAGGCCATAGATGCCATATTTGATTTAAGAGCTGCCATAGACACTAGAAAGGAATGAATAACAACGAATGAATCAGTGAAGGAAAGTCTTCCTTTTAGGAGCTTGACAGATGTGCTTACATTGAACTCATTACACTGCACAATGCTGTGCGTTAAAATCCCCCTGTTGCGCTTCATGAAAAAGACAGCAGCAAATTATTTTAAGACCTGAAATTTTCATTTTTCATTTTTAAAAAGCTAAATGTCAGAAATGAAGGTGAAGTAGACAAGACAAAGATGAGTCACCTATAAAAGATGTGGGGGTGGGGTAAAAAAGACTGAGAGGTAAACAAAAAATGTGAGACTGAATGCGGATGTGTGGAAGTGAGAGAAGAGGGTGAAGGAAAAGGTTAATGTGAACAGAGACTTGGTTCCGCAACACTGCTCTGATGAGGTGAGACACTAGGGACCTGAACCCAAACCATGGCAAAGGCTGGGAGGGAGCTGGCATGGAGACGCCTTGTTACCATGGGAATGAGACTGTGTGCAAGTTAAGATGATTGACAGAATTACTGAGTGCTGTTAATTTTACCTCTTGTGGACAGTATTCCTGCTCTTAAAGGGACAACCACTGCTTAAGCCCACTTAAAAATATTGCTTAGCTGTAAAATATATTGCTGACTGTTCCAATTGAACAATATCATCAAAGTAATGTGAAACAAATAAAGAAAATAACTCACTAGCCATAAATCTACCAGAATCTCTTCTCATTCAGCAGTTTTGCGGTATGAAACTGGACCATTTGAAGATATATAGTTGAACCAAAAATGAAATTCTGTCATCAGTTGCTCAAACTTTTATCTCTTGTTACACTGTAAAACCAAAAGGTTAAGGTTACTCGAACCATTTGAGGAAACCAATTGCAACAGACCATTTAGGTTAAAAAAACTAATCCTAATGAGTATTGTGAACGTAATCCATTTGAGTACATGAAACAATTTGAGCACAGTAAAACCCAATAAATTAAGAGAACTCAACCCAATTGAGTACTGTAAAATGAAATCAAGCAACTTAAACCGTTTGAGCAAACCGATTGCTACAAACCATTTGAGTTCAAATCCAATTTATATGAGTACTGTGAACTTACTCCATTTGAGTTGAAGTAAAGAGATAATTAGTTAGCAGCCCATGTACATGTACATTATTAATGCTCAATCAACACTTACTTAATCATTTCATTAACCCATTAACTTCAACAGTGAGTTTCTTTTCAAATGAGTAGAATTAACATTCCAGTCATTTTTGAGTTAACTACACTCATTTTACTTGAAAACATTGACTATTGAGTTCTTACAGTGTACAAAAAAGGAGATATATATTTTTCATATGTTAGAAACCAGAAGCCATTGACATCTATATTTATATTTCCCCCCCAACATTTTAATTAATCCTAATATTGAAGTCAGTAGCCCCTTTCACACAGTGATAACGGTAAATATCCGGAAATGTTTTCCATTCCATTCCAAAACACCGGTAAATTCTGACATCATTTGCTAGAAATGAGCTCTAAACGTCTTAGCTTATGCTTGTAAACTTTTGACTACATTACACTTTCGCATGTCGAGATGTTTATAATATGTGTGTGTTGGCGCTCACTGGCTGCTTCACGTGCGTCAAGCAACTGAAGCAGAGCTTGAAGGTAAAAAAATATATATAATGTAATAAGCATTTTATTGATAATTTTTTTGCACAGTTGGAACATACTGTAGAAACGTTTTCTGACTAACATCTAGCACCTATTTTTGGAAATATATTCAAAGGTGTTACTTTTTATAAACAGTGCGGATGTGAATGCATCTGAATGTTCTGATTGGCTTGACTACACGTCTCATGTCATCCTGTTCTAAGCATGAACGCGCTCTTTCCGGCAATTTTCCTTCTGTGTCCACACAGAGCAGCATTCTGGCAAATTACCGTTAATGTTACAACTTCTCTTTCCAGAAAATTACCAGAATGAATTTACCGGCATTTCCAAAAAGGGCCTGTTCACACATACAAACCTTTCCGGAAAATTGCCGGTGTGAAAGGGGCTAGTGACTTATGAGGTGCCGTGTAGGATTTTAATCAAACTTTGCTTATCAACACATACATAAAACACATGTATATACACCTATAATTTACTCGCATATAAACCTATACTACTGGATGTTCAAAACAACATAGATGAAACTTGTGTATATACAAATAAACTTGACGCATGAATACACCCACATACACACGCACAGACATATAAACTTGATCCTCACATAAACACTCACATTAACACACGCACATACATATGTGTGTATGCATGAATTTTCACAGTAAAAGGAAGTTATTTCACTTTAAAAGGAAGTAGTTTAATTTCAACGTAAAAGTCCTTTGAGTGTAATGAACAAGATTATTATTTGTC